GAAGAGGCGGTTGAGCTCAAACGCCAACAAGAAAACTTCATCGACATTACGAGCCACGAAATGCGGAATCCACTCAGTGCGGTCCTCCAATGTGCTGATGAAATCGTCAACAGTATCACAGAGTACCGCGCTCAGCCGCAGGATCCTACACAACTCGACACCCTGTTGGAAAGCTGCACCGAAGCCGCCAGCACCATCAACCTATGCGCCAGCCATCAGAAACGTATTGTCGATGACGTGCTCACGCTCTCGAAGCTCGACTCGCAACTTTTGCTTGTGACGCCTGTCGACTCCCATCCAATTACGATAGTCAAACACGTCATCAAGATGTTCGAGTCGGAATTGAACACTCACGAGATCAAGCTCGACTTCTCGGTAGACAAAGCTTACAGCACCCACGCTGTCGACTGGGTCAGGCTAGACCCTTCGAGGCTGAGGCAGGTTTTGATCAACCTGATGACCAACGCCATCAAGTTCACTCAAGGCCGTGAGAAGCGCGAAATCACCATGAAGATGAGCGCATCCAAGAACATCACCGAGGTTACCGAAAAGGGAGTTTCGTTTTTCCCGACCCGTAAAGAGAAGGAGGACGTTCGGGCTTTGACTCAAGAGCAGGACTGGGGCACAGGAGAAGAAATCAACCTCCATTTCTCAGTGCAAGACACGGGCCCTGGTCTTCGCGAGGACGAGAAGAAGCTACTCTTCCAGCGGTTCTCCCAGGCATCGCCTCGCACCCACGTACAATACGGTGGATCAGGACTCGGTCTCTTCATCTCACGTATGCTTGCTGAGCTACAGGGTGGGCAAATTGGTGTTGTCTCAGAGAAGGGTATAGGCAGTACTTTTGCGTTCTATGTCAAGTGTCGCAAGACGGAGTCGCCTAGTCTAGAGTCACCGTCTCTCTCGGCGCTCAACTTGGCGCAACCGACCAAGAGCGAGCCTACCTCCACACCATCGACTCCCTCCCTCACAACCCTGCCTAGAAGGGCATCCATCAAGAAGCCTATCATCACTACGACACCGCTGTACGATGTCTTGATTGTGGAGGACAACATTATCAATCAGAGGGTCCTACGGAAGCAACTCACAGCCTGCGGCAACAACACATACGTCGCTAATCACGGAGGCGAGGCCCTCGAACAGCTCAAGAAGTCCCGTTTCTGGGCTGGCAACGAGGCTGAGGGGTTCGATCTCAGCGTCATTCTCATGGACCTGGAGATGCCGGTCATGGATGGAATTACGTGTACGAAACGTATTCGCGAACTGGAGAGGGCAGGCACTCTGACTAGGCATATACCCATCATCGCTATCACAGCTTACGCGCGGCCAGAGCAGATTGAGAGCGCGAAAGCCGCCGGTATCGTAAGTTGGTCCCGAACTACACACTCCGAACTTGACTAATATGATGACCCAGGACGACGTGATTTCGAAGCCTTTCAGAATACCAGACTTGCTGCCCAAGGTGAAGGAATTGGTTACGATGTACAACGCACCACCTACCACCGAGGCCGTGCCCTCGGCTCAAGTGGACCAACACCCCTAGAGGCTGCGTTCGCATGAAGCTTGTCAACCGCATGCGGTCCTGTCCAAAGCGACGACAATAGGCCGTTGGAGTTGGATCTCTGTTTTACCCATATTTCGAATTACGTCCTTGCATTTTTTATTTTTCTCCGTTTTTCCGCCAAGACTCGCTATTGCACCAGAGAGGTGTGGTAATGCTAGAGGACAGGCCGGGGGCGTTCAAGGAGGGACAACTGACCAAAAAGACTTGGGAGAAGGTATTGGTTTGTTTCAGTGTGCATAAGACTTGCATTTAAGAGGAGCAAGGCATTAGGAAGCGCGAGACTTGGAGTATTGAGGGCGGTAACGCACATGATCCGAGGACGAGTCACGGGCATATGGAATCTAAGTGGGCAACAGATCCTACTGACGAATATCTTCAGCGTATCTTTTTTTGATATTCCTGATTCGGAGTATTGTAATGCAAAGATACCCATTATCATGGCTAAAACAATTCTGCGCGCGTGCGCGAAGCTTGATGTTGTGTCATTACACAATCATTTCCTGTCCAGAGTCGTTGCGAGGTCACCCACAGTGATCGTCTTGTGAGTGATTGATCCAAGCTTGACTAAAGCACGGACCATCTACTGTGCTTACGTAACGAAGATTTTTCTGCCAGAGCAAGCTCCTGGCAAGATCTACCACGAAGTCACGGACGAAGCTTACCACTTTCGACAGACATTGATCGCGAAACCTCAACCCGCACCCTCCCCGAAAATGCATCAATCGGCCCTTCGATCGGCGGGTAGCCGCATACGGCCCGACGTGGTCGCCATAAAGACCTGCATCCGAACCTTTTCCACGACGCAACTGCGTCCCGCAGACGAATCGAACTCCAACAGAAACAGCAGCAACAACAAGAATGACGGCGACAAACCTTCCTCGCGAGCCTATAACAGGCCTACACTCACCGGACGAGAGCGCTCCCGCGCCGCGGCTAGCGAGATTGGACAGCTTCTGCGTGGCGGGCCTGTGAATGCTGCTGCTGCTGGTGCTTCCGGCGGTGGTGCTGGTGCTCAACCTAGGGGACTCGATGAGAGGCCTCGTGGTCTTGACGAGAAGCCTAGGGGTGGTCTTGATGGGCCTTCTGGACCTGGAGGCGCGGTGAAGTTTGTTAAGGCGCCCATTGGATTCGGACGGGGCCGCGGAGGTGCTGGTCTCGGCGCGGGCTTCGGCGCTCGCGGAGGACGTGGAGGTGCTGGCGGATTCGCTGGCCGTGGAGGGGGTGAGGGAGGAGGTGGATTCAGAGGACGCGGAGGCGGAGGTTTCAGAGGTCGTGGTGGCGGTGACCGTGGCGGTCGAGGTGGACGCGGAGGACGCGGAGGCCGTGGGGGTCGCCGGGGCGGACGCAAGGGCGACGAAGACGGCGAGAAGAAGGCGCCTCCTCCGAGGATGGACATGAAGGCCAGCTTGGAGAGGTTTTGGCGGCCCGAGACGGCCGAGGAGCACGCCTACATTGCGAAGCGCGACGGTCCTTACGAGTTCACCCCCAGCCTCAGCGTCAACGATCTGCTGGGCTTCCGGCCCGCTATGCCCCTCTCCTCGGCGGCCCCTCCCGTGCAGGCGGCGACGGTGTTGAGTTCGCTGAGGGAAGTTGCCGGCGCGGCGGACTACACGCCCGAGCGGTGGGGTGATTTGCGGCACACGGCCGAGACGCTGGCGGATACCAAGAATCGGGGCGTGTACTTCTTCGTCGACGCCGAGGAGAAGAAGGTGTTTGCCGAGGCGCTCAAGGGGCGGGCGGACAAGGCGGCGGCGAAGAACTCCGACGGCGCTGTCGTGGGTGACAACGAGGCCCACGTCCACGCCGTGCGGGAAATGAAGCTCGAGGAGGGCGCGAGCAAGGCCGTGCGGGAGTATATCCTCGAGCGGGCCGTCAAGGGCCAGCACGTCGGTCCCACGTTTGTCCCTGGTGGCAGTCGGGATCCGGTCAACATGGCGAGGGAGTCGCATCTGCATAACGAGACGTATGTGGCGGGGGATATGAAGAAGTTTGACGATAAGATTGCGGCGCTTGTTGCGAAGAAGGGTGCTGCTGCTGCCAAGGGAGGCAAGGCTGCGAGGGCTTGATTGGAGCTTTCGTCTTCCAAGAGATTGTAATATCAACAAGGACGGTACAGATACGGGGAAGGGTGAGAGTGAAAAATCAGATGGGGGTTCATTGTAGGATTACAGACATGGGAGGTTTGGTACAGCCAACAAAATACATATTGTACAACTAGATCCGAAAGTCTCTTCTACTATACACTACGGACGGATTGAATCTTTTCCATCTCAGACTCAATTTTGAACAAATTCCTAGCTATCCAAGAACTCTAGGCCTGCAACTTCTTGACAGTCTGCTGCTCAACAGCATCGACAACCTTCATATCCTTGTCCTGCACCTTTTGCAGCTCCTTGTCGGCCCTCCTCTTCAGATCCGGCACGATGCTCTTCTCCTTCTCCCACTTGGCGTGCAGCTTCTTCCTCTTCTCCGTCGCGACGCGCATCTTATCCCGCCACGCCTGGGCGGCGTCCTTTGCCCTGCGCACGACAACGTCCTTGTTCGTCGCCTCGACTTTGAGCACGAGCTCGAGCTCGTTGTCCGGATCGCGCTGCGGCTGCTGGTTGAAGTCGGGTGAGGCCTGGACGGCGGCCATGACGGGCTTGACGTAGTCCTTGTCGTGCAGGAGGAGGCTGACGGTGCGGCCGCCCGGGCGGGGCACGATCTCGGCGAGCTCGCGGAGGGGGTAGGTTGTGGACGGGTCCTTGCGGTCGGGCTGGATTGCGAGGGCGCCGATGGCGTCGGGCGAGAAGCGGTCGCCGGATTGGAGCTTTTTGAGGATCTCGGTGTGGTGGGAGGAAAGGGAGGCGAAGCGGGAGGCGACGTCGGCGAAGTTGAGGGGGTCGGTTGGGTCTGGTTTCGGGTGCTTTGAGCCCGGGAGGTCGTCTGTATCGGCTTCGTCTGCTGTGTGGGAGGTGCGGGAGACGACGGCGGGGGAGTCGGCTGTTGGGTACTTGGGCTCGTTCTTCTTCTTCTTTTGGAGGGTTGTTGATTGGGAGAATGGACGGATCGTCGCGGGGGTGACGGCGGCGGCGGCGGCGGCGGCGGTGTTGGTTTGCGGGCGGAGGTTTGAGGTTATCATCAGGCGAGCTGTGAGCCGCGCCTGAATTGCGCTGTTATCCCTGGGTCAATTGAGGTTGCTTGGATTGAGCGGGTATGGGCATTCACCTTTGAGAAGCTGGCGAGATGCCATTGGCGCCTCTAAAGAGCGAATTGGGGGCTCTGAGTCCTCGCATGGTGTCGTTATGCGCTGATGTTTGGGTTGTTGGCTGGTAGGTGGAAGCTCTCACAATTTTGTGCCACTGGATGTGACGTACGGAGCTTGGTGGGTGGGCTCGGCTCCATAGACAGGGGTACTTATGTTCCAGCCCGCGCTAAAAATTCAACAACAAATAATGGTCGATTGGCCTAGCGGTTACGGCGTCTGCTTTACAAGACTATTCAAACTGAATCCTCTCCATCGCAGAAGATCGCAGGTTCGATCCCTGCATCGATCATCATTAGATTTCACTTTTGCATTTTCATGTCTGAATACCCAGGCATGATGTTGAGCTATGTTGGTGTTGCGAAATCCCTTTGTTCAGGCAGGAGCAATGGTCAAGGAAGGAAGGCGCACCATCCGGCCTTTTTTTCTTCTTCTTTTTATTTTTATTTTTGTCTTGGGTGTTTAGCTTTGAAGCTTAACCTTGTGTAGGGAGGTGCAACATACTCACTACACGCATTTTACCTGAGGCGGTCTCTTAATGACACAAGGACAATTGTATTCCACCAAGAATATGGCGAAAGAATTACACACAGCCAGGAAGTGGAATAAAATATAGTCATAGTAATAGTAACAATTGTGACAGTAGCGATAGTGATGAGAAAAGTCGTGAGGAAGCCGAAAGTTCTGACCGCAGAATGTGCCACCCACCTGTTACCTACTCTGTGCCATCCATACCTACTTACCCCAAGAGCCCCCAAGCTCTCCAGCCAGAGTCGCGCTTTTCCACAAGCACGCGACGTCAGTGGGAGGCTCAACCTTCCAACCACCACTCACCTTGCCCAACACCTCAAACCCGCCAGAATGGAGATCGAGGTCGACGAAGATCTCTTGCGGACGGTCGCGACAGGTGGCGAAATGGACTAGTAAGTCAATACCCTGTCTTTCCTATCCATCTCCTGCTTAGCTGCTAATTGTACGGCGCATTATCAGCGGTCTATGGCCCGCCCTGTCGCAAGGAATCATCTCGAGGCTAGATAAGGTACGTCCGCCCCCAGGTCAGGCTTCGACCGGAAAATCCCACCATCGTACATCTTTGGAGGACGAAATCTCCTCGGTAGGGCGCGCTCACCAGTTCGCATCGCGAATGTCTAGATCGCCCACAACGAATTCCCTATTCCGAACCTACCCACCCCTCCTCAACCCATTAACGCGCCAGGCCAACAACCACGACTGCTCTCGCCGCTCCCCTCGTCCTCCATCGATCCCGCCAGCAGCCAGCCGTCATCACAGGATGCCGACAAGGAGAACAGCCAGCCCAAAGATGCCTCATCATCCAAGGCCCCGGTCGAAAGCGCTCCTGATGCCGACGCAGCTGTCGACAACGCACCCCACGCCACCGCTTCGGGATCGCTGCCCGCGCAGATCGAAGCCATGCTGAACGAGATTAACGCCGTCTTGGCCAGCTTCCCAAAGTACCCACCGCACACGATCCAGCGCCTGGCCGAGCTCGTCCTCGAGCCGCGGCGCCATTACCGCCATCTGGCATCGTACCTCCATGCCGTCGACCGCGTCGTTCATGTCACCAGCGGCGCAAACACCTACCCTCTTCCGCCAGCCATACCCGACATGTCTACCATGACACTGCTGTCCAATGGCAGCGCAAACGGCCAAGAGGTTAACAACCCAGCGGCCTCGGTCGCCTGGAGCAACTCGACAAACTCGGTCGCCTCAACCGTCGGCACGGACGAGGCCCTCGGCGGCGCTCTACTAACCCCGATTCCGTGGCTCACACGCCGACCGAGCCCTGGCTCATCCTCGCCAGCGTCCTCAAATGGCGGCGGACCGGCCGAAATTCGTACCGAGTCGACGGAGACCATTGACGGCCCTAATGGCGTCGGGAGTATCGAAACCGTCAGCGTTAGCGTCAACGGCATACCGTCTATGGGTGCCAGCAGCAGCCGCGCGATAACACAAGGTGAGTTACTGCGACAAGAGCAGGAGCAGGGCGTCGTTCCAGTCAACCAACTCGTGCGACAAGCAGAAGAAGCACAACACGCCGCCGCCCTGCGAAGCGGAGACGGCGGCAGAGCCAGTAGCCCCGAGAAGCAGCAGCAAGATGATGAGCAGCAAGAAGCTGCCGGTGCTGCTGCTGCTGCTGCTGAAGACGAGAACGAGGCGCCGCACGCTCGCGGTCCCGAGGAGATTGGTGTTGGTGACCTCGGCCCTCAAAGCGAGACGACGAGCTTTGTGGGCGGTGGTCCCGGCCTTGACATGCAAGGCATTGATGTCGAGGCTGCGGTGGGCCGGAAAGCCGAACAGACTCACGCCACGCCTCCTCCCGAGGATGAAAAGGACGGGGATGCCGCGGCGGAGGATGCGACGGCGGATGCGGTTGTTGACGACGCGGCATCCGACACGAGTGTCACGTCGCATCCTAAGCGTGATGCTGATGAGGAGCTCGATGGTCTTGTGAGCAAGAAGGTCAAGGAACATGAGGGTGACGTCGCGGGTGAAGCAACGGATGCTACAGTCACATCGCCCAAGGAGGACGACACCAAGGAGGAGGATGTGAAGACGGCTGAGCCCGGCGAGTCCAAGGCTGAGGAGGGCAAAGACGAGGAGACTGAGACCAAGGACGATGATGCGAAGGACGAGAGTGCGGCGGAAGCTGCGGCGAAGGCTGCGGCCGCGGCTGAGGCAGATGCCGAGATGGCCACCAAAGCCGGCGGCGGTTAGGAGAACGGAGAGATCTTTCGCTCAGTGAGTGAGCTGTATTGCGGATGATTACATGATACCAAGAAACCGTCTTCACCAAACCCCCACGTTCATTTGTTCTTGTGATTTGAGATTTGACGTATCGTCGTGTATTTGGTTCGAGTTGGCGCGTCAATATTCACACGTCATTTCGTCCCAAGTCAGACATGAAATTCTAACGATGGGCTAGATCAATCCCAAGACAGGAGAGGTAACATTACAGAATGCACTGGTGGGTGAAGCAGGGTCCTCAACCATATCATTGCCAACTCAAGTGGCAAGGTAGTATTCGTGTAGCTCTCTGAATACATGGGCGAAGAAAGAGAAAAGAAACAACGTAAACCTCCTAAACGCCATGCGATATTCCATATTCCATGGTCCATTGCGAAGCAACTCCGGATTCCCACAACATTCCCATCCAAACGCCATATGAACAGACGAATCTCATTACAAGACTCTGGTGATGCTCTCCTTCGTAATGACACTGTTCTGCTTATCGTCTCGCCGAACGCGGAAGAAGCTGTCGCAGAAGTCGCTGCAGCGCATGTGTCGCAGAAACTCCTCGTCGTGCGTGATGACAATGAGCTGGAAGTTACTCTGCGCCTGGCGCGCCTTGATAATGGCGTGCAGACTCTCGGCGAGACTCTTGATGTTGTCCTTGTCGAGATTGGTCGTCGGCTCGTCGAGGGCGATGAGGCCGCAGTTGACGCCGAAGCTCTCTGCGAGAGCGAGGCGGATGATGATGCTGGCGAGGACCTTTTGACCCGCTGAACAGCGTCCACGCATGTCCATCTCCGTGTCCTGCTTGACCATGCAGACGCGGTAGTTGTAAGAGCGGCGGCCCGTCGTCGCGTTCTCGTTGTCGGAACGAATGAGGATGGTGTCAATGTCGGTACCCTGATACGTGCTCTGCCATAATTCGCCGGCGATGCGGTTAATCTCTTCCATCTTGAGGCTGTGGTACCGCATAATGGCCGTGTCCAGCGCCGATATGTACCGGCCCAAGTCCTCAATGGCAGCTTTGGTCGTCTCAACCTTGATGTGCGACTCACGATACTTTTTGGAAGAGTTCTTGTACTCCTGTTGCCACTCTTCCAAAATTCGTTCAAGCTCCTCATCTTTGGTCTTCATCTGCCCCATGATAGAACCGCGGTCGGCGACAAGCCGGTTATGGCGGTTCTCCAGGTGCTTCGCTTCAGAGATGAGCGATTTGTAATCTTCGTCAGCATCACGAGATTCTAGCTCAGCGATATCTCGGCGGAGAATGTCGAGCTGTTGCAGGTTCTGGCGGTACTTCAGGTTGTTGCTGATATTCTGCTTCTTGCGATCGCCATTGTCAATGTCCTGCTTCAACTTGTTCGTCCGCACCGTCAAGTCTGAAATCTCCTTCTCTAGACCAGCAATCGACTTCTCGAGACTAGCGATAGCGCGCTGGTTTGCTGCCAGGTTAGAAGGGCCGCCACGGTCTATGTACTCCTGGATATCACTCTCGACCATCTTGAACTCAGTGACGGAGTCGGCAACCTTATCGCGCTCCTCGGCAATAGCCTGTTCCTTGCCACGACCGCGTTGCAAGGTTTCGTCCCGGACTGATCTGGCATCGGCGATTTCAGGCTCGATAGACTCTAAGTCCTGATCGGCGGTGCTGATCAACTCTCGTTGGTGGGCCTGGTCCTCCTTCAAAGTCTGGATCTGGTTCAAGAAGTCCTTCTTGCGCTCAAGCTGGTTCAAGGCTTTGCTCAGTTTGTTCCGGAGCTCGCTCTTCTCCAATTCGAGAGAGTTCACCTGGTCCCTCATCCGCTGCCAATCGGTCGTTGTCTTTGCAATCTTGCCCTTCATCGTTCGAATCTGTTCATTGCATGAGGCCTGAAGCTCGTGTATTTCATCAGCGCTTCTGCTGACGTTACCGGACGATTGCTGAGACATGATCCTGTCAACCTGTGCTTCAGAGTCCTTGATGTCCTTTAGAACTTGTGTGATATTGATGACAGTCTTGTTGAGGGACTCTATGTCGTTCAGTTTACCTTCCTCGGTGCTGACAGCGGCGTCATGCTCCTCAAGCTGCCGACTTAAGGTTTCACACTCGGCCTCAAAAGAAGCAACCTCTTCCTTGAGAGGAGGCAGCTCTGACGTCAGCCTCTGATACGTTTCGTACTGCGTCTTGACCTTACGCAGCGAGCCAAGAAGAGCATTAGAGTTGGCAAGGTCTTCCTCTGCCTTCTCTTTCTTGTTGGGATCAAGGAACTTGACCAACTTGTCTGAGAATCGAGACTTGGAGACATTAGACTTGTCGTCAAAGTTGCGGTCGCACAGTCGACATTTGTTCTTGTCCTGCAGGGTCTTTTGGCAACCGCGGTAGTAGTCCGCCAAGGCGTCAAGGAGGCTGATGTCAGTGGTGTATGTTTCCACGTCTTCCTCGTGCATCTTGACCTCTTCTTCATAATCCTCGATGGTTGCACCGTCTCGCACCGACTGCAGAGCGCTGACGACCGCATTTCGACAACGTTGTGCCTCATCGGTCTTCCGCGAGCCAATGTCTTTGGCGCTCTTGAGTCTAAAATCGACCTTCTGTTGCTTGTCCCTCGCAGCATCTCGTTTCTGGCGAGCTTCGGCAACAACCTTGTTCTGACGTTTCAGAGAATCGTGGAACCGGGCTTCGAGAGTGTCGGCCTCCCAATTACTGCCAATATGCGTGTCTAGCTTAGGCTTCCACGTGCTGGTGAGAGTGTCCAATTTTCGCTTGCGATCTGCCAGCTCCTTCTTTCTCAAATCAAGCTGCGCACGCTCTGAGGCAAGTCTTGTACACTCAATCAATTCGCGCCCAAGTTTGTCCGTTTCGCTCTCAAGTTGCCACAGCTTCTCATTGTCCGATTTGAGCTGAGAATCATAGTCGGCACTACTCAGAGACTCCTGAGCCTTCTTCAACCTGCCTTCGACATCTTCGAATTGGCTGTCCAAAATGGCCTTAGCGCCCTCGTCAACGTCTAGACGGTTAATATCCATTTGAAGAACATTGGTCTGCTTCTCAATGGCAGTCATTCGTTGCTTGGCGAACACACGGTTTTGTGTCGTGGTTGCCTTGCGACCCTCCAGCTCAGTAATGACCTTTGTGGCTTCGTCTAGCTCCCGCGCATTCTCCTTCTGTAGACGATCAAGATCTCGCTTCTTCTCGGCCAGTAGCTTCTGGATGCGCTCGTTGAAAGCCTTGATTTGGCTGTCCTTCAAGTCACCATCGTAGCCGCGGAAATTGTGGAGTTCTGCTGCATCTCGAACCAATTGCATTCGGGACTGGAGTTGCCGTTCGTACTTGTCCTTGTCAGATTGGTGTTTTCCTTGCTCGGCGAGCTTTGCTGAATGCTGTTGACGAGACTGGGTAAGATCCCGTTGCAGCTCCGAATACTGGGTCTTGTTCTGGTCTGCTTCCTCTTGATACCGACTCATGCGCTCTTCGTACTGCGCTAGTGCGTCTTCCAGGTATTCGTCAGTCTCGGTAAGCTCTTCAAGGGTCATCTTGATATCCGCGATAGATCCTTCACGGTAGCTGAGCTGATCTCTCTTGAACTTGAGGTCATTGACGATGCTCAAGTAGCTGTTGGCGTGCTCGTGTTTCTCGCGGATTTGCTCCTGGAGTTCTTCCATCTCCTCCGTGAGGGCATTGCACTTATCTCTGGAGCTCTCTATATCGTTCTGTAGTGCCATAGATCGCTTCTCAGCACGATCGCCCTTCTCCTTGTTGATTCGGTCTTGTTCCTCAAAGATCTTGAGCTTAGCTAGCTCTTCGCCCTGTTTCTTTCTGAGAACCTTCAGGTTGTCAATGGCTTTGGTGTATCGCATCGCTTCGAAGATCTGGTCGAACTGTTTCTTCAGGGCCGAAGGCTCACTCATGGGCCAGAGAGATTCGTCCTGATGGCAGAAGATGACGTAGTCGAGGATTGCTCTGGAAACGCCTAATTCTCTTGGGATGAACTCGTCCATCTGGGCGACCCTGGACGATATGACAGTTCGCTCGCCATTGTTATTGTACACCAATGATCCTTCGAGAGTCTTGAGTGATCGGGTGGTTTTCTTGACGGTTAACTGAAGGCTTCGTGTCGCAACGCATTTGTGGCTGCTTGTCGATGTGAATGCAAGCTTGACTTGGGCCAAGACTTCCTTCTCTCCGCATAGCTAGAACATGTCAGTCTCCCCAGGTGACTTGGAGGATGAGGCGCAAACCTTGGGGTCATGGACGAAAGCACCGCCTTTGCTGTTCGGTGGCTGCTCGCCTGTGGTAGCATACTTGAGACACTCGATGATGGTCGTCTTGCCCGAGCCGTTGTAACCGACGATGAGGGTCAGGGGAGTGTAGAAGGAAATGGTTTCCCTGCTGCCACCAAAGGAGCGGATGCCCTGGATGGAAAGCTTGTCGATCTTAGACATGGTGACTTGGGTTCAATGCCATGTGATGAGGTGGAATTGGGCTGATCGATGAGCTGCAGTTTGAGAAGACGTTGACGTAGAAAACTGGGATCGACGGGAGAATCTCGCGAGGAAAGCAGCCCTTTTTGGCTTGGCGGTTGGAAGAGTGCTCCTGCGGTTGGCTTGTCGTCGCCGTCCAGGCTCCAATGAGGTCGGCACAGAGGCGGTTAGTTAGTTGCCTTGGGTGCTTGGGTGGGATGAAAGATGTAGGGGACGTGCACCCGAAGAGGACGCGCCTTCCCGGCAGCCAGACACGCGTTGATGGAGGTGCGAAAAAGCGTGACCTCGCATCCATGTTTATGTAAGCTGTCACTGACTTAGCTAAACAATACTCGCTGCAGAAGCTCAATCTGCATCCCGTTGATGACTGATCCCCAGCATGGTTGCTCTCCTCAGATAATGTACCCCATGATATGCGAAGTTTGATATAGGTACAGTGACTGTAATACTTTTATAATCCCCGAAAAAGCATAGGAGCACTCAATACAGCGAAGTAAGAGTTGGGATGAAAATCATTTTTAGAAAAGGTATTCCATCACTTGCGTGCGTCCTGGCAGAGAAATTCCAACTGGCGGGGCTCTCAAAGTCTTCATACAGCTCAAGCTACTTCCTCGGCTGGGGCGCTAAGATCAGACTACTTTGGGAGAGCTCCTAGGTGCCAGGTAGACACGGCGCATAAACGTCATTGAGACAACATGGGCTTATTCCTTTGTCAGTATCTGTCAACACCATATCTATATGGCAAGGCAGGTTTCCTTAGTCGGGTGTATGGGAACAATTCATCTTTCAGCTGCTTGTGGGACTACATGTTTCCGAGGCATCTGCGCAGGCGATGCTGCTGCTCAATTACATCACTGCGTAAAGTATTGGGTATCAAAGGGATATGGACTACTACCACAGTGTTTTGTTCTAAGGCACTTTAGCAGATCCCGTCGGATATCAGATGGAGTTTTGCAATGCTACACAATGCGAATACGCTATATCCGTAGACCTTTTTGGCGGAATGCAGGGAACATTACTCGAGGCAGGGCCTAGAGCGATCGAACAAGCAGCAAGTTGGAGTAAGCGCTCAGTCCCCGCTCGACAAGAAGTCTTCAGGAACAGAACTTGATAGAAGAAGTATCCGTATTAGGCTAGTAATCCGTACTTGATGTTCTGCCTTGGGTTCCCAGTAATCATGGTTTTCATGCGTTCAACGGGAGGTAAATGACGACCAGCCCTGACAGATATAATGCAAATATTGCAAGTCCTGTACGGATAGCGTATCGGGGATTATTTGAGCTGATACTTCATTCACCACAAGAGACAGCCGTCGAGTGACAGCCACAGTCCACCCGTGAGGCGTGAGGCGTAAGGCGTGAGACAGATACCGTGTACTTTATGGTTCGATACTTGGATAGTACCAAACAAGCCACGAGCCTCCAAGGCAGCCCCACTGGGGTCGGTGCAAGCCTTTGTGCAAGACGGGTTTACAAATGGCTCTGTGTCGGGGCATTTGCTCCGGGCAGCGCTATCCCAGGTTGGCCCGTCACTTGGCCTGTCAGGACTGCCTAGGAGCTGTGAGGGGATTATCGCTGTGTTGAGTTTCCCAGGGCTTCAGCCTTGGAACTATTTTGATGGAGCAGCTGGACGTGGGCCGTGCATGCCGAACGCATGACATATGGTGCCCAAGGCATACATTAAGGTAAGGTGAGGTTAGGTCGGGTAGGAATGGTCTCAAAGGTGAGCCAAGGTAAGTAGGTAATGAGTTCAGAGGTAGATAGATAGATGATGCCATTAGGGTCTAACGCCTGCAATGTCCTGCTTCACACTAAGGTCTGGCTAGCGAGTAAGGTCAGCCAAGGTGAGTGTGCGGCTTTCCATGTCCCATGAGATATCCATGGATTGGATCCATGGGACTTGGAGAGTTTTCGGCGGGGTTCAAAGGATGGAGGTCTGGAATTGGGAGGGGAAAAGTGGAAGGTACGGCTACGGCTATGGAGTATTAAGGTACCTACCTAACCTGTGTGCCAGAAGGGAGGGGAAGAGGGGGGGGGGGCTAATGGGGTGGAAACTTAGGTGGGAAGGGTGGGAAGGAACTAACAGTGAACACACACACTGGGCGCCCGGTGTGAATGGCCAAATGACCCAACCTACGGAGTATGCAAGGAAGGCAGGGTCGGGTACGATGATGAGGTACCTGCCTGCGACAGTACTCCGTACCTACCTAGGTATGTAGAGGGGGTGCAGCGGACCAGCGGTGCAGCGAGCGGTGCTTGGACTGACGGGAGGTGGAAGTTGGGAAAAGTCCATGGCCAGAATTGCCATGTGCTACGTTTCCATTTTGCAGTTTCCCATCCTTTTTTTTTTTTCCCACCTCAGGTCCCTGCTTCTATGCTTTCTTGCAGCTTCCGCTACCGCTTCCGCTTCCCTTCTTTTTTCTTTTTTTTTTTCCTCTCTATCCATCCGTATTGGATTTACTCGCAGCTCTGCACCCCTTCTGCACCTCATCCCAGCTCACCTAAACCTGGGCATTCTGTCCCTGCCAAATTTTGGGATGGTGACGACTTGACCTTTATTTTCTCTTTTCTGCACTGCACTCTCGTGCGCCTCGCCTTCTCTCTCTCACAAGTCTCAACCTTTTTTCCCTTCTTTCCCCCTCTCCACGCCGTCTCCTCTTCCATTCCATCTCATCCCATCTTCACCCCCCCCGTCCGAGAACGCAGCTTCTGATCGTCCCTCGCCCTCCCGCGACCCTGCATCGCTGGCCAGGCCGCGACTCGACCTCGCCTTATGCTCCGCGTGCCAACCTGACGGAACCCAATCCAGCCCTCGCAAACCGTCTCACAGCAGCCTAGACAAGGTCCGCAGCCACAGGCTCTCCATCTCACCGCTGCAACTCCCACTTGATCTGGGCCTCTGATCTCAACCCTCGACTCAAACCTCGACTCTCACTCACTCACGCACCTACTCCCTCGACAACTGGCACCGTGTACTGCTAGGTACTGCTGCCACCATTTCGTACCTACTCCGTCCCGAACCCTCGCTTCCATTTGCACCGCGACGAACCAGACAGGCATAGTCAGCCTCTGTACTCATTCGCAGCAATCCATCCGGCCTTTTTTTTATTTATTAATTGCTACGAGACCCCGTCGCTTGGAAACATTTCACAGAGAAACAATCCTCCACCATCACCACCCCCGTCGACCTTATCTGGTTGCCGTCCGTTTCTTTCTCTCGATTCCCTCGTTTCGTTGCATCGGCCACACGCGCTCTGACGCCATCTCCGTCGACTCCCATTCTTTGGTACGCTTTTCGACAAAAAAGACAAAATAGACGTTCTAGCCAAAGGGACATACATGCGAGGCTAAGCCCACTACTCGATGCACAAAGCCCCGTACCGGCTTGCGCCTTACATTCTATCTTGATCTATTCGCGTTCTAGGCCTCTCCGGATCACCACTTCCTACTCCCCGCATCTGCCCATGCCCATACGACCCGCGACTTAGACTCTCGAGCTCACTCTCTCCCGCCTTCGCAGCTCATCGTTGTTGCACGTCCAGTAAAGGTGCTCGTTGTTGCATCTCCACTGGTATTGGCTCCAGTTTGAACCTGGTCCTCGCTCCAGCTACAGGTGCAAGCAATCATCTTATCGCACTTTGAGTTGCCAAAAGACGGTACCTACCTTACGAATAGACCCAGCCGATTTGCAGTACCGCCGCACATTGGCCGCAACGTAACGGGACCGCATTCTGGCCCCCCGGGAACCCTTCCCGCGCATCGGTATCAAATCAGCCCCCCCAAATCGCCAATGCCTTTGTTAGAAGCCGTCAGGCCCAGTATCGGAACAGTACCGCAACCATGTCTCACGGACCACCTCAGCCTCCAACCAACTTTCTTGGCTTTGGGCCCCAAGACGCCTATTCTGCCTTTGAAGCTGTTCGTCCCGCCCGCTTTCCTTACCTCGCTCCTCCTGATCTGATAACTCGCTTTCTTTCCCTCGACCGCCTCGCTTACCTTTCCTCTCTGTCCCTCTCTCTCCGACCTCCGACCCGCCTGATCCCCGGCGCATTGCTTTTAGGAGCCCCTCCCCATAACCACAATTCGCTACAGATCGCTCCCAACAACGCGCTGACGCAATGCAGATGGCGGAAGCCGACCCCAACATCATGTCGTCTCTCCTGGACTCGACAGTTTACGGAAGCTTTGACGCCATGTCCATGAGCGTCGACAACCCAAACGACGACAACGCCATGTCCACCTTCAATTTTGTCGGCAATACACCAATGCCCGACGGTCTCCCCGACGATACCCCTTCCATGAATAACAATTATTCCAATAATGGCGACGATGCCTCCAGCGTCGTTGGTGGGGGCCCTATGCCCTCGAGCGGCTTCAATTCGCAGGCTCTGCAGCAAGCCGGGAGCACCCTCACCGAATTCACAAAGAGACGCAACTGGCCAGCAAAGGTCGTCGAAGAGCTGAAAGATTTCCTCAACATACTCGACGCCCATGGTCGCATACGCTTCGTCTCCCCAAGCATTCTCAATCTTACCGGTTACACCGCCGACGATATCCTCGACACATTCCTCAAGGACCTTGTCCACCCCGACGACCAGGGTGTCTACGTCGCCGAGCTAAACGAGTCTATAGCATCAGGAAACTCGCTACGCATGTTCTTCAGGCTAAAGAAAAAGGATGGTAAATACGCTATTTTCGAGTCGGTCGGTCACGCCCACATCGCCGCGTCCAAGTTTGCGCCGAACCCGCACAATCAAACGCCCTTTTGCCAAGCCGTGTTCATGATGTCGCGCCCGTATCCAACAAAAAACGCAGGTTTACTGGATTCATTTCTGGAACACAAGATTGAGAACGAACGTTTGAGGAGGCGCATTGCTGAGCTGCGCAAGGAGGAAGAGATGGAGAACGAAGAGTCGCAGAGGCAGTGGCTCCAAAGCCAGGAAGGCAGGTCGGACGTCACACCGTCGGAAACAACAATGACATCTGCCCCTAGCGCCATATCTCGGGCCGGTGACGGAGGCGACAGGTCATCGGCCCTCAACGTTGCGCTTACACGTGAGGCACTGGAGGGTGTCGCGGGGAGCCGTCCGGATTCATTGAAGGATAAGATGGCCAGATACGAAGGAAACTCCCACACTGATACCATCGAGATGTTGACCGGACTGAGATACATCGAGGGCGAAAGAAGCCGCGGCATCACGACAGGAAACGCGAGTCCGACCTTGGTCAAGGGAGACGCGGGCATTGCGATTCCACAAGACCGGGACCCTCGGACAGGTGACAAGAAAAAGAAGCTCAAGACATCGGAGGAATATGTCTGCACGGACTGTGGTAAGCTCCGACTTGGATTCGATATGCAATCCGCTTGGGATGGCGAGATGCACGCAGCAGCACGCCGGCTAACGATGATGATATCTGATTAGGTACCCTGGATTCTCCGGAATGGCGCAAAGGCCCGAGTGGACCCAAAACGTTATGCAACGCGTGCGGCCTCAGATGGGCCAAGAAGGAAAAGAAGAATCGGCATGGCAACAACAGCACCCATCACTCAGGATCGTTGCAAGTTGAGCATGGCGGAGGTTAAGTTTTAATGAGTCACCACTGGCGCATTGGTCGGCAAGTGCCCACGAGGGCTGCCCTGGGCGTGGTCATTCCATATGCACCGGAGTTGGCGTCTGGAAGACGGCACGGCGCAGGTTATCACTTTGAGACGGACATGCAGTTGTTTGCCATGTTTCCAGCAGCTTTTGTTATTTTTACAGCAACCAAGATACCTGAAGACGATTGGGTCGTGGGACGGAGGAAGAGCGTAGTTTTGGCAAGAGCAGTTTCCAACAGCAGAATATATTCCAAGCCATGTTGCTTCAATGGGCGGAGTGATCGTCCGGTCAGGCGAGTCAGATGCAGTCGATGTCCGCGGCGGCTCGGGCGGGACCTACCGGACGTGCGGTCCTGTTTATCGCAGTTCGGCCGGCGGTCAACATTCGACCCCCAGCACCAGCTAGGAGCTGTATAGCCTGTCTGTCGGCGGGCAGCAGGCATCGCATCGTGCGTGATGTTCCGAAGCTGATGCGCGTTTTGCATAGAGAGGTTACCTCAGCCACAGCTGGGCCTCCCCACCGTGCTTCTGTCGGCAGATGTACGGCGAATACGGGCTGCCACGCTCGGGATCTGTACTGACTGAAGTGTATTAACTCCGTTCTAGACCCGAAGTCGCCTCATTCACGCATCCATGGCTGGACTGTCGACTGGTGTTAACACATGTAAGCCCGGGGGTTTCCTGAAACATGTCGTTAGCCCTGGAGCTCTGCACACCCAGCTGGGCAGGCTTCGTCCTTGCATAGAGAGCAACTCAGGCAATCCCCGCGCAGATGGATTGCAGCCACTCCGAATGCCTACTGGCGTGCTGGCTTGGGAGGGTGTGCAGAGCTTGCTTCTGTGGGTGCGACACAGGAACCTAAGGTGCTGGGTCCTGTTGATCGTCCAGGGGCTCTCGCAGAAAGGACCCCGCTGTTGGGGCGGATCAGCTGTGGAGGGGTACCTTGGTGAGGGGCTACTTCAGGGTCCAACTGAGGATGCCAAGGCACCGCCCATGCCATGAAGCCCAGACACCTCACCTCAGGAAAACATCTGGCCCAGCTCGTTCTCCACGACTGCGCACTTTGTGCTGCCCCGACGTGTGCAAGCATCGAGCTGCGTCACTTGAAGTGCACTACCGACATGAATAGTTTGTGGACGGCCTGGAGGCTTTTCTGGTCCCTCACCATGTACAGCTAGCTCGCTCCATTCATGATGTGGTCCTGGTGGTTCCTTTCTACGGCCTGTGCTGCTCAGGTTATTGATTGTGGCTGTGAACCGGGAGGCCTATCCGACCAAATCAACAGTCTGCCACAAGTTCATTGGATGCCGTTCGATCCTGATTCGACAGTGCTTTTGTTTGGAAGGGGGCATGCAATGATGGATGCATGGCCAGCTCAGGGCTCCTGAGACAATTGATCGCCCGCTTGGTGATGCGGAGACGTGGCTCGCCTGTTGGCATCTACAAGAGCTATCAACACCTCGGGGTTTGCCTTACTTTATTTACTCTTTAGTTTCTCCTTCGCGTCTTCTTTCCTCCCATCTTTTCATCTCTTCTCTTTTTCCTTTACCTCTCGCAAGACTAAGCGTCCTCTATTACATCATTACCATTATCATCATCATCATCATCATCATCGAGCAACAACACGCCCTTCTTCACAATGGATAAGCTCATGAACGCCGCGCAGGAGTACCTCGCCAAGGACGACGATAAGCCCAAGCAGCAGCAGCAGCAGCACCACCAGCAGGGCTACGGTACGTGTGCTCTCCCATCTTCTGACAAGCTTTTCTGGTTGCCCCCTTTCTGTCAAAGTACCCCGCTATCCTTACCTGACCCCGCGCCCGCCCCTGAATATCAACCAAGAGAGTGAGGGACGAAGAAGGAAGCTTTTTGACTGATTGTGATACCTCTTACTGGGAATCTAGGCCAACCCCTTCCCGGCGGCGACAGTAAGTTTTTCATTCCTTCTCGTTTGTTTGAAAAAACTTCATCTCATGTCTTTAAATCGGACCGATTTCCCGTCAATCTAGGGGGTGTTAACGTATTTGGATTTGATCACTTGCGTCCTACCTAAATCTGGAGAGAGAGAGAGAGAGAGAGAGAGAGAATTCAATATCGTAGCTAGAACCCATGGCTAACCACGCGTTTGTGAATTAAAAACAGAGTCCCACGGAGGCAACTACCCCGCAGGCGCCGGAGCCTTTGCCGACGACGACGATGAAGACGATTACCGCCACGCTGCTAACGAGGCCTCGCGCCATGCGGGATCACACGGCGACACGGATCTGTTTTCGAGTGTGTTGGGTGCTTTGACGCAGAAGAAGGGACAGTTGAGGAATGAGGATATTGATGAGGATGGTGCGTTTGTCTCTTGTCTTTTCTTTCGTTTCCCCCGACTATCCACCACCTTCGTTCTCTTTGCTACGTTATCTAGCTCCCTGGCTCCTGTGGCCATGAAGAACCAAGGTGACTGGGGAAAAAAGAGGAAAGAGCAGGGAGGAGGAGGAGGAGGAGGAGGAGATACTCTACAACTTGGCCAGTCCCAGCGCTAATTCCGTAAACTCCCATCAAACAGAGGCCGTCAACAAGCACAAGAAGTACTTTGGCGACGACGACGACGACGAAAAGGCAGACGACAAGGGTCTCGGCGCCGCGGCCGCGATGCAGGCTCTCAAGATGTTCTCGAGCGGGCAGACGGGCGGACAGAAGCAGTCCCAGGGCGGCTTTGCCGGTCTCGCCATGGCCGAGGCCAGTCGGGTGAGTCGTCGTCTATACCTTGAGAGGTAGACATAGTTGGTGGTACATGACTAACACGCTTTACTCTCTCCCCAAACAGCTCTTTGACCAGCGCCAGTCCCAGGGCAAGGTCGCCGACGGCACGAGCAAGGAGTCTGCTATCCAGCAGGCGGGCGAGATGGCGCTCAAGATGTATTTTAAGAGTCAGGGGCAGCAGCAGGGCGGCATCATGGGCCTGGCGTCCAAGTTTATGAAATAGAGAGGGGAGGGGTGTTGGTTAGAAATTGGGGGGAAGGGACACAATGAGCATGTGTGTTTCCAAGGATACGTAGGAGTATGACAATGAATGAAAGCAATGACTGGATGACAGGATTGAGCCTACACCTTTATTCTGTCCTTGATTCATAATGATTAGATTCTTCAAGCTAGAAGCATTTCGAGATACGATTACATTGCTTTCTGATACTCTTGAACTGGACGATATGATGCCCTCTGGTCTTTTTGGTACGCACTCCCCTTTGGCTTTAAATGTTCTTCTTCGCCTCGAGGCCGCCGTTCTTGGCAACTTCGACGACGTCCACCCACCCTTCGGGCCTCTGCCGCCCTTCCCCAGTCAGATACGTCTCGGCTTCCTTCGCCCAGCCGAGAAGCTGCTCCTCGCAACCCCACTCCGCCATGGCCATCAGCCCGATGGGGACCTTACCCTCGCCCTGCACGGGATCGACATAGCCCACGGGCGCCGTGACGGCGGGACACCCGCTCACGTTGGCGACGTAGACGTAACTCATGTTGGCAATGGTGGTATTCGCATCCGAGACGCCGTAGGCGTCGTCGCCGGGCTGACGGGGCCATCCGGGCAGCGGGGTGGTCGGCGTGACGATGAGCATGCCCGGGTTCTGCTCGTAGAGCCAGGCGACGTGCTTCATGAGGAGGTCGCGCAGCTGGGCGTACTTCATGTAATCGCCCGCGGGCGTCTGCGTGCCGACGGACATTGTGATCTTGTTGGCGTGGTTGATGATGGACTGCCACTGTTCCGGGTCCGGGTGGCGGTGGCGGGCGAGGTCCTGCATCTCGGTGACGCAGGTGGCCGAGTGCATGAGCTGGATCTCGCGGAGGTAGGGAATCTTGATGGGGGCGATGGTGTACCCTTGGGCTTTGAAGTGGTCTACGGCCCGGCGGCAGACGGCGGCGACGGAGGGGTCTGCGCGGGACCACCACGCCTCGTCGATGCCGATGACTTTCGGGGCGGAGGGGGAGAGCGCGGGGGAGGGTGTGTAGAGGCCCTGAATGGGGTCGTCTGGGTTGGGGCGGGACATGAGGCGGTAGGCGATTGTGAGGTCGGCGACGGTGGCGGCGAGGGGCCCGACGACGCAGACGGACGAGTTCATTGCCATTGTGCGGTGGTGGGAGGGTTTCAGGCCGTAGACGGAGTTGAAGGCGCTCGGGATACGGATGGAGCCGCCGGCGTCGGTGCCGATTGCGATGGGGACTATGCCGGCGCCAAGGGCGGAGCCGGCCCCGGAGGATGAACCGCCGGGGTAGTAGGATTTGTTGTGCCAGTTTGTGGGGGTTCCCCAACGGGGCTGTTGTAAACAGTCAGTTTATTTACACAAGTCATTACGTGAATTTCGTTTCGTCTTCTTCACTCACGTTGCAACCGTTGGTATCTGCAGAGTCTCTTGTCAGCTTGTCCTTGTGAGTTGTCAAAGGGAACGGCGATACGCACCTCCTCCTAGCTCATGCATGGCATTTTTGCCCAAGACGATGGCACCAGCAGCCTCAAGCTGCTGTACAGGCCATATCGTCTTGTCGGCGGCCTTGAACCACGGCAGGTCGGGGCGGTACTGCATGCCATTGTGGCTGACGTATCCCTTGACATCGCAGTCGTCCTTGACACCGATGGGGACGCCATCGAGGGGCCCCAGGGTTTTGCCTTGCTTCCACCGCTCAGTGGAGGCGCGGGCAGCGTCGATGGCGAGATCCTCGCGGCCGTGGGAGGCCACCCAGGCGTTTGCGTAGGGCCCCGTCTCGGGCGGGGGGTGGCCCTCGGCGCGGCGGATCAGGGGCAGCAGAGACTGGACCACGTCCAGCGGAGTGACGGCTCCCGAGGCGTAGAGGGCTTGGTAGTCTGCGCTGGAGAGGTAGCGGCCCGGTTGGTCTTGTGGTGCCGGGGTGGTCAGGTCCTTGGTGAGCGCGAGGGTTTCCGGGTGGGGTCCCGTCTCGGAGAGGACGAGGACGTCGGGCTGGTAACGAGTGTTAGCGGCGTGGAGTCAGATTACGAGTGGGAGTGAAACTCAGTGGTGAGCAGAGATTTAAGAATGGGACGGACCTGGAAGCGGTATCTGTAATCAACGAGGCCGGGAAGGTCTCTGATGGAGCCGAACTTGGCGTTGCGCCAGAAGAAGCGCTGGATGACGCCGGAGCTCGCGAGTCTATGTAGGGTGGGTCAGCTCATGAGCTTTGGGTTCAGCAGCGAAAGCGTATGAGTGAGACTCGACTCCAGACGTACGCTGTTGCACCCGCCACAAGAGGCCAGCCGCGGAGGACCGGGTTCTGGTCCTCTTTCTGGGTCTCTGTGTTCACTTGCGCCGGCGCCTGGCGGGCACCGGGGTAATTGGCATATTTACGGTTCGGAGCCATTGCGAATCTTTGTCTGACTGTGAAGTTGGCCCCGTCGATGACTTGTTGTCTTAACGTC